CGTTGCGATTCCTCTCCCGCCCGAACCCCCTCCCCTCCCCCGGGTAACGACCGTTTCCTGGGAAGGGAAAAAGGGATACATCAACGCTTCGGTCTGGTCGGGGGGAAGGAGACAGCCAGCTCGGTTCGGGCCGTGTTGGACAAGGTGGTTCACGCCTCTGTGGGCCCCGGAAACGGCAGGGCCGTTTTTCCACGGTTTCCAAAAAAATGACCCTTGAAAATGGAAACGGCAACAAAAACGGCTCCAGGATTGGAACCGGAGCCGGAACCGGTCAAAAAACGGCGACGGAACCGGTAACAAAAACGGCGTCGGAACGGTGGTTCACGCCAGTTCGGTTCGTCTCGACTCAGTTCGGAAACTTCTTGAGCCGTATATGGAGGTTGCTTTGGCGTCTTGGACCGATCGTTCGGCGATCTGGGGCCCTCGGGGACCGTCCTGGGGGCCATGTTGGGCAATCTTGCCGCGTCTTGGGGCTTTTCTGGCCCCCGGAACCGCCCGTGGGGGATGCGTACAGTCGGGGCCCTGGAGAAGGAACCCTTTTCGTTGGGGAGGGGCTCCGCGTTCCTTAAGTGCTTCGCAGCTTGCCTCAGGCTTCCCTTCTGTTTTCGACAGGAAATGGAAGGTTCACTCATGGAAAAAAGGGGCCTCGTTCCTTATTTTGGGTTCCTTAGGTCAACGCCCCGACGGTATCTGGATGGCGACCCACACTCCAGGACCCTCCCCTGAACCCCCCCTCGCCGGAGAAGGCATCAAAGGGAAGGTGCTTCCCTTCGGCTCAGCTACCACGTTGCTCAACCCTGACCTTCAGAGAGCTATTTTTTAGCACTGGAGACCTAAAAACTTAAACAACTAAACGAAACAGCCTAAAACCAAGACGTAGAATAGCTCTGGGATAGGTTGTTAGGTCGGGTGCTATTGTTTAGCCCTCCTGGAAGGTCAGGGTCCGAGACCCCCCCCTGAACCACCCTCGCCAGAGAAGGGATCAAAGGGACGGTGCTTCCCTTCGACTCAGCTACAACGTTGCTCAATGTCGCGTTGGCTGGCACGCTCAAGGAGGAGGGGCTCAGGGAGAGGAGACGGAGGACGACGCAGCGGACGATGGATGGAGACGACGAGGAGACGAAGGAGACGGAGACGGCGACGGAGACGACGATGAGACGACCGAGACGGCACGACGACGACGACGACGGCGACCAACGGAAGAGCGTGTTCCACACGCCGACAGGGTCGGCGGATTTGCCACGTGCTGTTGCGAACTAGATCAGGACTGCAGCATGCAATGGAGGCGTAACTCTCTAAACTCCTCCGATGGTGCGTTGTCAAAGCAGCATTGTGCTGCAACATGTCCCTACCTTGGCGCTTTACGTGTTCCCGCCAGCCCATCCAGAACGATCGCCAGGCGAGTTGCTTTGATCATGGAAGTGTACGAACACGGGTGGGTCAGTTGGCAAGCAGAAGCTCGGTATCAGTTTGAGCATACCCTAGAGTGTTGAGCCAGCCGCCGTCGAATAATAAGAAGGATGAGGCTGCGGAGGGAACGATGCAGAAGGACGAGGGATGATAGGAGGGAGGATGATGAAGAGGGAAGTGGGAGGTTCATAAGGAGGAAGAGGAGAAGGAGGAGGAGGAGGAGGAGGAGGAGGAGGAGGAGGACAACGACGACGGCCGTGAGCTGGCAAGGCTGAAGCCAGACCGCCCGTGGCGCCGTTTCGTATCGTGCATTATGATTGGAACCATTTTCGCAGCCATCTTTGGGCCCGTTTGGGGGCTTTTGTTGGCCCTCTTGGGGAAATCCTGGAGGGCATTGATCAAAGAAGGGCGTTCCTAATTTGCGTTGCCCTTCTACAGCCCCAGAGATCGCCTTCTGCAGCCCTCTTGCGGGGGGTTGAGCGGGCTCTCGGGGCAGTCTGAGGCCCTTTCTCGGCCTACCTCTGGGTTTCCCTCGGGGGCCGTGATGCCGCCTTGAGGCCTCAGATGCCCATCGGAAGCGGAAGAGTGAGAAGGGCAACCCACATCGAGCAACCGCAGCGTTTTGAATGCTTCTGGTCTCTCGCGAAAGCTCCCCATAGGATGCTCTCCGATCATCTGGAGCCGCCTATTTGGGTGGTCGTGCTGGATGACGCCTTGGGCCAGGGAGGGCCATATCTTCAGCCGTCGTGGGGGCGATCTGCTCAGGCCCCCTCGGGCAATGACAAGATCACGACGGCAGGGTTTCCGTTATTCTCGGCCTCCGGGAGCACTTGCCGGGCCTCGGGGCCGTCAAACATTCGTCCCGGGGAAGGGGTCGAGCACTTTGGAGGCAGATGTACAGCCGGGGCCCTGCAGAAGGAACCCATTTCGTTGGGGAGGGGCTCGGTGTTCCTTGATTGTTCTACAGTTTGCCTCCTGTTTTCCTTAGGTTTCCCATGGGAAATCGAAGTTCAACTTATGGGAGAAAGGGGCCCCGTTCCTTAATTGGGGTTCCTGAGGTCAACGCCCCGACTGTAATGAGAAAGTCGTGGCGTCGGGGGTCTGGGCTGGGCTAGCCGAAGCCCTCGGAGCCAGCTTTTGGGCGCTCGAGGCCCTGCGCGGCCAGCCACTGTCCCGACAGCGAGCGTGGGGCCCTCGGGTCTGGACGCCCCAAATGGGTACGGAAAGAATGGATACGATGCCCAACAGCAGTTCCTGTTCATTTTGAACAGGACTCGCTGTCCGCGCCACCGCGGCCAGTGTCCATTTGAGACAGGAGGCCGCCCGCCCAACAGCGGCCGCTGTTGGTCTGGGGCAACATTTGCTGTTGGGCATTGTACCCGTGTTTTCGGTACCCATTTCGGGCGTCCAGATCGGGTCGCTGGAGGAGCCCGGCACAGGGGTGTGCAGCCAGCTCCCGCGTTCCGAGACGACCCCCAAAATTGCCAGCCTGGAACATGTCCCTATCCCTATGCTGGGCGCCTCCTCATCACGATGTCAATCTGAGGGATTCCCCTATTTTTTGAGGGCGAATCCCTAAGATTGTCATCGCCTTTTGGCGTGTCAATCTTGGGGATAGGGATACGTTCGAGGCTGGTAAAAAAAAAGACTTCCAAAGGGGTCCGAGAGACCACCAGGACGGCCTAAGGCGCTCCAATAGGCCCAAGGGTGCCTCCAGACGGCCCAAGAAGCCCCCACGACGCCCCGAGAGGGCTCCAAGCGGCCCCTCCAAGAAAGCCACAAGAGGCACACATCGCCCCACTCCTTGCAGGGAAGTGTACATCTTCAGCACTGTATCCGTCTTGTTCTTCGCAGCGCCCACGAGGCCCAAGAAAGGCTCAGGAGGGGCCCATGGGGAGCCCAAGACGGCCCCCAAGGCCACAAAGGCGCACGCAAGGTGGCCCGGGAAGGGCCCCAGATCCCTCCATGTCGCGAGAGGCCATCCACGGCCTGCTCAACGCCCGAGACGTTGAGCCATCCAGCTGCCGAAAGGGCCAACAATGCTCCCGAGACGCCTCCAAGATGGATCCAGGAGGGCTACCAGACGGCCCGAGCTCAGACCCCCTCGCTCTGGGAAAAATCACGACGGGAGGTATTTTCGTCATGTTCGGCCTCTTGGGGAGCGTACAGTCGGCCCAGATCAGCAGGTCGACCCTGCCAAATCAAGGGTACCCTTGTGTCCTGAGCTTCGCGACCCACGTCTTCTTGCATTCCTATGGCAATGTGGCCCTCGGAAGGGTCTTGTGTCCTCTCGCGTGTCCTCTCCAAGCAGTCCCGACTGTCCAGGGCCTCGGGACCGTCAAAAAACGACTCGGGATGAAAAACCGGTCCCAGGGGAATGGGTCGAGATCTCTGGGGTTCAACGTTATGAGAACATCCTGACGTCGGGGGCCTGGTAGAGGGGAACAGACGGGGCTGGAAGCCAAGACGGCCCCGGAGGCCTCCAGGCCGCCCCCCAAAGACGGGCCCAGGAGGGCCCTCAGAGGGCCTCGGGCGCTTCCATGTCTCGAAAGACCCAACCGGCACGGTCCCCGAGGTCCCCAAGACGCTCGTCTGCCATGCGGATTGGGTCTGGATCGTGCAGGTCTGCCGTGCTTCGAAGAAGATATAGCACCATAAACCGAACCTTTTGGCGCTCCGCGCGGATTTCTTGGATCCGCGCTGGGCCCGCCTGGCGGCGCCTCCGGCACCGCCCCGGGCGCGCTCCGCGCGCCAGGGAGGGGGGCCCAGCGCGGATCTGAGAAATCCGCGCGGAGCGCCAAAAGTTTATGTTTGTGGCGCTCTTGTTCCTTCTTCTAGTGTTGGTCTGCCGTACTGGTCTGCAGTGTCGGTCTGCCGTGCATGCTTCCGACGTGCTGGTCCCAGTCCTCTCTCTCTCTCACTCTCTCTCTCTCTCTCTCTTTATCGAGCATGTTTCTTTAGTGCTTGGGGCATAATGGGCATTATAGCCCCGGCCCCCCCTCCCCCCCCTATAACGTAACGCCCCTCCCCCCCCAGGGCGCTCGGGTACTGCCGCCGTGCGCACGGCGGGGGGAGGCGTTACACTATACCTCCCCCTGGCCCCTCCCCCCCTCTATAGCCCATTACCGCCGAACATAAAGAAACGCGCTCGTGTTTGTCTGCCGCGCTGGTCTGCAGTGTCGATCTGCCGTGCAGGCTTCCAACGTGCTGGTTCCCGTCCTCTCTCTCTCGCTCTCCCCGCTCAGTTTTTTGTGCGCGCGGGTGTGTCTCGGCCTTGTGCCCCCCTGCCTGCTGTAATTTTTCGTCTAACATCCGAGTGTAGGGGGACATGCCCGACCTAACTCTACAGGAGGAATATATAAGAATAACAGAACACAGAGTTGTCTGGGGACGATTCTTCTGTCACGCTTTGGCAATTGTTGCGTACTTGTTTGGACATTTTCATCGCTCGTTGATGACATCGGCGCTGCGCGTTTCGCACGACCTTTCGGATATCATTCACCTGGGTACGTGCGAATAGATGTTGCCGCATGTGCACCCTTGTCCACTTGTCGTTTTGTCGTTGGCCATTCTGGCTCGGGGCTATTGCCAGAGGAGTTGCTTGGTAGGCGCTTTATTCGACTTGGAGCCATCGCGCTGTAGTTGCTCAGCTCGGTGATTTGATGCCGTATTGTCTACCTTCGGCCACCTTTTGCGAGTTTCCTTAGTCGCGTGGGAGTTTCTCCTCGTCATCTCGATCAGCTATGTTCTGCTGCGGCGACCCTGATTTCTTCCATGCGTCGGACCCTGAGGGTGCGTCGCTCAGGCTTCTCCACTGGAACGTCTGTGGGAGCGGTCTGACTGAGACGCCCGCGAGCTTAGGATCGGGGGAGCAGAAGGAGATTGATGCGACGGCTCCCCATGCACATGGCTCATGTCTAGGTATTTGAGAGCGCTTTGATTTTCTGGGGCCTCGATCCTTGCATTGCTGAGTGTTCTAGCCTGGGCCTCTTCCTGGCCACTAGGGGACCAGGAACAATCAGACACGTGCACAATTATCAGGAGGAAAAACACACACGCAGACACAATGAATCGTCGACTCCCTGGACAACATGAGAAAACATGGGGGGGAAGACAGGAACCCAGAGAATATGGAACAATATGGGGATTCCTGTTATTCGTGTGCATTTGTTTGTGTGTTTGTGTGCCCCTTCAAATCAGAAGTGAGCACGATTCGAACATTCACGACGTGTACCTCTCTCGGGCCGCGTCCTGGCCAGGATCCAGGGTCAAGCCTCGGGCCGCGGCGACGAGGGCCCCTCACGGAGACCCCGGGGAAGCGCGATATCGGGACGCGGAGGCCTCCGGAGGGCCTCCGGAGGTCTTATTTTTCATAGGAAGAGCTGACTCCGTATCTATTGTTGGTAACCTTATCTATTTTGCACGTGTCTATTTTCATCTGGTCACACGGAGTGCACATCAAAACAACATAAGTATAGACTCGCGTTTCGCGCGCTCCGACTCAGATGCGTTGCGGTTTCGCCATAGCAGGCGCGCACCAAAGATAGACACTGCCAGTATCTATTTTTTGTCTACTAGGGCTCGGAGGTCCCCAGACCCGGACCCCCTCGCGCAGTGAAAAAAACACGACGGGAGGTGTTCCTCCATTTTCGGCCTCCGGGGGCCCTTGCCGGGCCTCGGGGCCGTCCGAAAACGACTCGGGGTGACAAAAGCCTGTCCCGTGGAACAGGTCAGGGCTGGACCTAGACGGTGTTTTTGGTGATTTCGTGGGCCGTTTTCGTTTCGATTTCGTTTTGCGGCAAAGGTGGATTCGAGATAAACGCGAGGGAAAGCGAAAACGAAACGAAAACGAAGCGCACCGTTTAGGTTCAGCCCTGGAATGGGTCGAAGCCTCGCGGGGTCGACGTCATGAACAAATCGCGACGTCGGACTGTCTGGGGAGGTTGCCGACAGAGCTCGGGAGGCCCCTGGGGGAAGCCCTGTGGGCCCCGAGAGAGGGCCGACGCTTTTCCAGCAGCCTTGGCCCTCGACTCCGAGCTCAACCCCCCCCCCCCCCCTCCTCCTCCTCCTCCTCCTCCTCCTCCTCCTCCTCCTCCTCCTCCTCCTCCTCCTCCCCCTCCTCCTCCTCCTCCTCCTCCTCCTCCTCCTCCTCCTCCTCCTCCGGTATCGGGATCGGCGTCGGCCTGGGAGCTCCCAGGCCCCCTCGCGATGCGAAACCAGCACGGCGGCAAGTCTTTTGCGATTTTTTCGGCCTCGAGCCCCTCGAGTCCCAGACCCCCGACGCAGTGATTTGTTCCTTGCGTCGACCCCCAGAGGTCCCGACTCTCTCCCCATGACCAGCTTTTTCCGTCCTGGGCCGCTTTTTGGCGCTCCCGAGGCCCGGCGAGGGCCCCCGGAGGCGGAAAATGCAGAAAAACCTCCCGTCATGATTTTTTCATTGCTCGAGGGGGTCTGGGGTCCGAGCTCAAGGCGTCGGGATCGGCGTCGGCCTGGGAGCTCCCAGGCCCCCTCGCGATGTGAAACCAGCACGGCGGCAAGCCTTTCGCGATTTTGGGCCTCCGCGGGCCCTCGCCAGACCTCTGGACCGTCCACGAAACGACTCGGGGTAAAAATCCGGTCTGGGGGATTGGTTCGAGAGCTCTGGGTTTCAACGTTCCCAGAGATCCAACGCATGGAAAAAACCAAGACGGAGTTCTTCGCTCATTTCGGCCCCCAGGGGCCCTCGCCGGGCTTCGGGACCGTCAAAGAACGACTCGGGATGAAATCACCCGTCGTGGGGAATGGATCGAGACTTCTTGGGACCGCGCATGGAACAAAAGTCACGACGTCGGATCTCCTGGGTCTTCCGAGCTCAGGATTCCACCCCGAGTTCGAGGAGGACTTCTCCGCGCTGCTGCAGGTGCTGCACAGAGACAAGGCTCGAGGGGCAAACAGTGGCATTCTCGCAGGCCCAGAGGTGGACACCAACACCAAGATCGGCGGTGTGTCCCCACCGAGGGCAGAAGATCCCGATCTCGGTGAGTGGTGGTGATAATTCTGGCCTCCGAGGTGGCCGACATGTTACCACCAACACCGAAATCTAGGATCGTCTTCCCCCGGTGGAGGCAACCCCCTGTGTTGGTGCTGGTGCTCGTTTCCAGGCCTCCAGCATCAAAACC